ATTTATTTAGTGCACATGGGGAAGTCAGAAGCCATCTTCTGATGGAAGTCAGCTCTCTCCTTCCACCATGTGGGTTCTAGGGATCGAATTCAGGGTACCTGGCTTGGTTGCACGTACCCTTCTCTGCTGAGCCATCTCACTTGCCAGGGAAAGTACAATATTTTGGAGATGCCCATGTTGACGTTCAATGTGCCGTTAGAATTGCTGTTGAGGCGAATTGTACCAGGGGTAAGTTTCAAACATTGAACACCAAAAGCTCAGTTATCTTACATATCCAGCTATGATGATGGAACTTTTGAAAATTGCCAGAGTGTTCCTAATGAATCTAGATGTCATGAGACTGCCCCGAGTTTCTGGGAATTTTATGCACGGGCAGCCCACTCACACTCCTACGTTACGTGTCTCTCGTTCTCTGGTCACGTGTTTTGAGGTCAGTCCTTGCAAGCTATTTCCGTGCAAGTTGAACCTTACACGTCGCTCTCTAATCATGCAGAGATTCCAAGGAAAGAGCAGTTAAATGATTGCACAAATCCTTTCCATCTGCTTCCCTCTTTCATTTTAGGTAAAAAGCGGCAGGAGTCAGGGCTCTTCTGGTTGTAAACTGTAGGGTACCCATTTACTGGTCCCCCAGTAACTAGCAAGGAGAAAATAAAACGCACATTAGGAAAAGGCTTATTATCTGTTGTATCTACTATCGCCTGAGTGAGTTAAACTTCAGGGTGATAAAACACTTAACAGCATTGGTTCCCACTCCACACATCTTTCGCACAGATTATGTATTTTCAGAAGGGTCATAAATTCTGATCCACGGTCTTGAGCAAAGTTATGGTGATGGATAAGAGTTATAGGTACTCGTATGGTGATGTCTTCTTCCTGTGAAATCACAGGACTGGTGAATGGCTAGGCTCAGGTCCTCTGAATTTTAAGTGCTGTGACTATATGCAGTAAATGGTCATTTTATGGAGAAAGAATTTTGCTGGATTTTTAAAATAACCTTGCTATCACCCATCAATCAAAATTGCTCTCCATGAAATCTAATTTTCACTTTCCTCCTGGGATTATCACCCGCGCATGATCATTTACCGACCCCTCTCGTGGCCGCTTTCTCCCCTGATATATCTAGAGAGCAAGGACCGTAACCCAAACACTTTGCCCTGAATTATGCTATTATTAAATTTAGTAGTATTTACTGTCATAAATGACTAACTCTTGACAATATTTTATATATTTGCAACAAAGAGCATTACATGTCCCTCAGAAATGTGGGTGACGGTGAGTGATTTGATGGCAGGGGCCCTTAAATTCAACTAAGTCTAAATTGGATGCAGAGTTAGCAATGAGGGCCAGAGACACGAGACAATGCCTCCGAGGGATCTCAGCAGAGCCAGACGGCCGCTTTAAGATACCGACTCTAAATCAAAGGCCTCCTCCTCAGCATCAGGAGGCTGGCGGAAGTTCAGAAAATGACACCGCGAGAAACAGCTGCCAGGCATTAAGGATTTTAATCTAGTCCCCAGTAGCGTTTAATAAAATGTGCCAATTAGATATTCAAAAAATAGTCATGATAAGGATAGACGATGATTATCACCAGTGCTTTGGAGGGTGCCAGCAGAAGAATGGGCGCTAATGCCTGCCTACCGTTTTTAGCTGCCTCGAACTTGCTTCATCTCTCAGGGCTAATCACAGCCATCTGTGCCTCCTGTTCCCATCGGCGAAACAGAGATTGTATCGCTGCCTACGGAAAGTCTGCGGGCTTGCTTTACTGCTCTCCGGTGAGACGTCATATATAAATACAAAGCAGGCGATAATAAGCGGAATACTACTGAGGGAACACGCTTCAAGGCAGGGGTCATAAATTAAAATTAATTAAGGACTTCCAAATACTATTCTAATGGCTTAGAGCGGTTGATGCAAATGCACCTATATTGCATTCATTTCAGGTGCTATAAGAAAATAACATAAATTCCTAATAAAGAAATGAGCGCTAGGGTGCTTTGGCTCATTACAGTCTATTTGCATTTTTTCCAGAATATTATAAATTATTATGAAATATTATATAAACTGATTTCTGAAGCCCATTAGCATTATTTAAAGTTAAGCTTACTTTAACAAAGTAGTAGTTGTCCTAAAAGACTGGGACCCCCCCCCAAAAAAAAAGAATTTTTTTTTTGCCTGGTCATCCAGAAGATACAAGGCGGGAATTGCCTTTTTTATACAGCAAAACGAAAGGCATCGTCTGCACCAATGGACACCCACAAAAGCTCTTGGTAACTCTGCCCCGGCAGCCAGAATCTCGTGTCTTCGGTTTCCTTTAATGAGACATCAGGGTCTTCCTTGGTTCAGTCGAACAGTGCACTCCAAAATCCAGACGTTCTTGAACAATAGTTTTCATTTTTATGAAATACAATGGATTTTCATTGCAACTAGAAAGCTTTAGAACAAATCAAATGAAGAGTTCCCGAGATGAGGGCCTGCTGTCACCTGAGCTGGGCCCGCTGGCCCTTACATACCACCGCAGGTCTAAATTCTATGCTCCGCTCCTAACCAGCCGATCTCCCACCAGGAAGGCTTCACCACTGCCCCCGTGGGCTGTTATTTCTTATTTATTTATTCGTTCGTCTATCATTAATTCATTTAAATTTGACAGCAAAGGCTCCTTAGGGCTCAGAACATGAATAACTATGGAGGTTTTCATAAGTCGTGTTGGAGATCACAGATTCATATTTATGAAAGGCCCCGGGGACCTTTCCTCTCCTACTTAACTAACGGATGCCCTCGGCACAGATGAGGGACAACCCAGTAGGAACCTGAAGCAGAACATCGCGGCTCCCCAAGCATTGTTCATGGAGAATCGGCTCATTTCCATTTACTCTAAAAGCTTCCCACGCGGAGGCTTTTGAAGCTGCCCTGGGAGCCAGCACTGACCTCAATTCCTGACTTAGTCACACGTTCCCCCTCTTACTTACCATGATGCACTGCTCTTTGGACGCAGAACTCTAACAAAGCACGTCAGTTGTGGCATCTGCTGTGAAAATTTTGCACCTATTTGAGGGAGGTGAACCACTTCGTCACAGTGTGAACTACACACTGGTCAGTATGTCAGCAGACGTCAATCTGAAAGAATCAGTCAGTGGCTATCGGGGAGGAAGATGCCCTTTTCTCCAGCGGTGTAACGGCTGGTAAGGTGCATGTGCCCCAGTATATAATCCCCCCACCCACGCTCATGCAGACAACCCTAATTAAACTCGGTGGGTCAAAAAATAAATAGATAAAAAGACATGAAAGTAGGAGGGGCCTAGTTGGGAGGAAGCAGTTAGCAGGAGTCAAGGGGCACGGGGTGAATATGATCACAGCGCACTATATATATTGTACAAAAATTTCAAAACGTTTAAGATGCAGTTAAAAATATGATCCTATCCTTCATGAAAGCCTTCATAAAATTAACCCTTTCCCCTCAGAACATATCAGGTCTGCAATGCATGTCAAACCCCCAAGCTCCAGGCATGGGTGTGCCACAGCTGAGCATCACAGAGCCAGGGCAATGAGGGGACTTCTCTCCAGTGCGGCAGGACGTGAGTCCCCTTTCTGTAGCTAGGCCACCTGGGTGAGTCTGTGACTCCTGCCACTCTCTGCATGTTCTGTCCCCCTTCTGTGTCACTGTGATACTAGGTTATATGCCTTTGTTTTCAGAGATGACTTCTGGATGGTCTAAAGAAACACTCTGGCAGGCTGGAGAGATGGCTCAATGGTTAAGAGCACTGGCTGCTCTTCCAGAGGTCCTGAGTTCAATTCCCAGCAACCACATGTTGGCTCACAACAATCTATAATGAGATCTGGCGCCCTCTTCTGGCATGCGGGCATACATGGAAGCAGAATGTTGTATACATAATAAATAAATGAAATCTTAAAAAAAAGAAAAAGAAACACTCTGGCTTAGGTTTCTTTCCCTGGGGATTGAAATAGTCCTTTGCATATGAAATGCCCAAAGTATCAGCATTGTGATTATTATTGTCAGAGTAACTTGGGAAAGCACCTGCTAATGGGATTCTCTGAATAACATTCTAAATAAATTCCCTGATCTTTTCTTAAAAACACATTGCCCAGGGCCCAACACTGACATAGCTCTACTCTGGGCCACTCTGTGCCAAATCACACCATCTAACCCTCATGCATACTGACGAACTTTCGCTAGTATACCTAGGGTTTTCCCGAACACACTGAGGCAATGTGTGTACAGGTAAAATTTAGGAGTGATCCTTCAGAGCATAAATGAGGCAGGAAAAAAATCAAGATAAAAAGGAGTAAGAGCCAATTTCGGGATGCATTAAGCGCCAGACTGACGGTGGGCATTCAATTCTATTTAACCTTCTAAGAACGGGGCATTTTTATCTTCTGAAATTATCAAGCACAAGGGCAGGGAGAAAGGGCATTTTTTTTAAAACTGGTTTTCATGTCCCTAAGGTAAATATTACCCCCAGAAGGAATAACTTTTCCCAGGGTAGAAAAGCAGAGAAAGTGGGCTTTTGCTACATGGAGGGCAGAGCGTGGATGCAGCCGACAAGGCTGACTGCAGACACAGTTAAAATCTGAGCGGAGATGAAAGGTATGGGTCAGAACAGTAAGCTTATGTCACACTTTCATCCCACATCAGAGAAAGGAAACTGAGGCACATGGCCGTTTCCTCGCCTAGTAAAGACTGGCAGGAGAGCTGATGAGACTTTACCTACAACGGCTGAGCTCTATGGGCGATCTGCGGAGCACACATGGGCTCAGCTCGGAATCCATCTTCGTGACATTCACTCAAATGTCGTGGTTCCTCCTGGGGAATGAATTTCCATTCATTCAATAACAACATAGGAAATGCTTCTCCGGTGCCGTGCTGGTATTCCTGGGAGACAAGCTGGTCTCTTTCATCTGAGACTGTGTTTAAAGAGACATTCAGGGAGGGAAAAACAGCTCAAACAATCATTAGAGCTCAGAAAAAAAAACTTTTCAATTTTTATTAAAATGTTATTCTTCACAGAGTATAGAAATACACTTGGTGACAACCTAGTAGACATCAGCCTTCCCTTTCAAACACACCACAAGAAACAGCTAACCAAACTCTGCTGCTGCGAGCGGATTAGGTCGTACATACGCATTGTCAGGGTGACACCAACATGATGAGTACATTTGACAGCTTCTTCTCGGGTACAGAGAATTTTCTGACAGATTCTTTTTCCCCTTCAGAAAAGCTGAAACAATTAAGAAGGCTTCAAAGTATGAGCTTGAAGGGCCACAGTATTAACACGTATCAGGGCCGAGAGCGACAGGTGGCATGCACACAGGGCCCAGGGGGCAGCAGAGCCTCAAGAGGGGTGCCAGTCCCCTGTTTCTGCTGTGAGCAAACAAGTCTGTGGGGTGACAAACACAGATGAGGAGATGGGGAAGGCCTTTCCTCTCCAAGGAGAAGGGATTTGGGTTCACACTCGGGAAGCACAGGGCATCACAGAGAAAAAAAGGAGACTCCCTACACACGGACTGAACTTCCTCCTAGGGGACAAGGGCCAGCATGGCTAAAACAGACATTGCTAGGACCACTGCCTTTGAGATGCGGAAGTCTGCCAGTGAGTGGATATTCAAGGCACCCTACTGACTCCACCAAGTACCATGAACAAGAGCAAAGCATCCTAGAAGAAGGCAGAGACATCCACTGGATATCAGGGGGAAGGGTTGGGTCTGAATTCAGCCCAGGAGATCAGTCTCATGGTGGATTACACACAAGAACCAGGTCACAGAGCTGCTGAGAAGAGAGCTCTTTCCTTCCCACCGCGGTTCATACGAAACCACTGGGAGGCAGGCGGTGCTCCAGGGTGGGCATTGCTTTAGCATTTCGCAATTATTATTTCTCCCTACTCTGTTTATCTTCTGTGGAGACCAGAGTCATACAACACACTGATAACAAGACTGGAGGGCTGGCCTGTTCTCTGTGTCAGACTAGCAAGTCCTAATCGAGTATTTTTACCTTAATGGCACCAGAGAACCCAGTACATGTCACCTGCATTTCTTCAGCACCTTTTAATTCCAAACATCTGCCTACGTTACTTCGCCCTTGCAGCCAGCCAGATATCCCACTATAAGACTCTGGTCTTTTGTACTAGATGGTGTGGAAGAAAAGAAGACTGTGCCTCATGGGCATTTCTCAGCCTGTCTTCCCCAGCGCAAATCTTCCCTCCAGGTTGCTGATCCAATACAGTCTAAAGCAAAAGCCACAGCGAAGGGTTGGCAGTGTTTTCTAGCTAGCGCTGCTGGTGACTGGTGGAAGCAGGGTACAACTGTTGGAGACCTTGGTGATGCCCACAGGGTGCAAAGATAATCAAGGACAAACAGCCTCTCTCAGACATTGCCATGTCTGTCATAAGGTGGAACCAGCCACCCCACACACACACACTTTATGACCCAGAAACCCGGATGAAAGCTCCAGGGACACAGGAGTCGGATGACTGACTCAGGAACACCCCTGGGCACCGTGGCTATGGCCTCGCAGGACAGAAACCTTTCCTATTTGTTATTCCTATTTAGTTACCCAGACAGGCTTCTTCACTGGACATGGTGGCACAGACTTTTAATCCCAGCACTCAGGAGGCAGAAGCAGGGGGATCTCTGAGTTCGAGGCCAGCCTGGTCTATATAGTGAGTTCCAGGCCAGCTAGCGATACATAGAGAAGCCCAGTCTCAAAATAAAAAAATAAAACAAAATTAAAAAAAATCAACTTCACCTTTGTGGCTATTGCAGCCCATAATTATCTAGGCCTCCTCGGAGTACCTGCTTCTCTTGGGTTCTCTGCTATGCACAGGGAAAGGAGGAGTCCCCTGGAAAATATGGATGAAGGACCCTCAGACCTGTTCCATATTGCCCAGCTTACAATGGGGTTTGACTAAGGACACAGATCACTAAGATAGATGGGTAGATATATACTCCCTCAACAAAGAGGACACTGGATTTTATGTAAACTTCCCTTTTGCCCCATACAGGAAGAATCACCCCCACAGTGGCTTGCAGCCGGAGTGAAGGGAGGGCAGGGACTTACAAGCTCCCTGTGGTTCCCAGGCACTTACAATCCTTGCTAGGAGTCTACCTTTGGAAAAATGCTAACTTTATTGTTTCTGCTCATCTTCCGCTCCACCCTGCCTACTTTGGGCACCTTTGTCTGGATCAGCTCCTCTGGGGTGTTGCCCAGGGGGGGGAGCAGCCTCTTCTTGCTATGTCGGGTCTCAGAGAGCCACTGAGGGGGCAACTCGAAAGGCCCGAAGCCAAACTGCAGAGAATATTTATCAGGGAATACCCCATGTTCCACAGGGGCTATCGGGGCCTCCTGAGATACAGAGTCCACCGTGCCTGGAGGCGTTACAGAGGCTGCGGGCTGTGGCTCCTGCTCTCCCTCAGAACAGGAGGCGAGTCCCTCCTTGGCCTGGAAATCCGCTGAGCCAAGATACTTGGCCTCACTCTCTTCCTCGTCCTCGGAGGGCTTAAAGATCTGCTGCTGCCCAATGTGGAACATCTCCAAGAGCTGGCTGCCAGAGCGCATGCTCGGCTCCAGGCTGGCCTCAGCCACCCCACCCCCAGTGCTAACCACATTGCGGCGACTGTATCGGTGGTGCAGCTGCACCAGGGTCCCAACCAAGCACTTCCGGACTGATTTGTTCACCGTTAGGAAGAGCACAGGGTTGGCCAACAGGGAGACTTTGGGCAGCCAAATGGCAGTAAGGAGCAAGAAGACGGAAGTGTTAGGGACATTGAGCACAGTCTGGTAGACAACCAGGGTGGCATAGGGTACGCTGCAGAGGATGAAGACTGTCACCATGGAGAGCAGGGTGGCATGTAGCTCAGCCTCCCGTTGGGACGCATAGGGGATGGAGATGGTGTTCTGTGGGGTCCGCAGGGCAGCAATGATGACTTTCTTCTTCTGGCTGGCACTCAGGGCCCTCCGGATCAGGATTAGGAAGAGGAATACCACAGCCACAGGCACAATGACTGTGGTGACATTGTAGAGCAGAACATACACCAGGTGGCCCAAGGAGTTGCTCCAGACTTCCGTGCAGGTGGACATAGCATAGATGTCGGCTACATTGGTCACAGCAAACACAGGGACACTGGCCACCACTGCATGCGCCCAGATGTACATCACCAGTTCCCGAGACCTGGCATCAGATATTTTTCTCTCCAGAGGATAGAGGACTGAGTAGTACCTGCATGACATAAAAGCACAGTTCATGTCACAGGAAAAAATTCTCTTGAAATTAGGGTGACCTAAACTACCAAAAGTAGGTAGAGGGGACAATAACTGAGACAGGTAGAATCATTTGAAGAATCCAGGAAGCCAGACCTTAAGTCGTGAGGACTCTAGAGTACAATGGGAGAGACCAATAATCCAGAAAAGCAAAACAAGAACTTTCTGAAGACACAGAGAAAATCCGCATCTTCATGTCATTCTTCAGACTCTATCAGGAAAACAAGCAAATACATTCAGTGCATAACTACCCTAAGAATTACTGCCATCAGGACTAAGATCTTGAGTGCCTTCAACATAAGGGACACAAATCCTTCAGGTTCCTTTGTGAGGATGGCTGCTTTCTAATGTAATGAGAAGGGGTAACTTGTACATAGTTTACTCTGAGAGGCCTCTGAGAAATTTTTAAAGCTAATGACAAATTTGTCTACATACGTGTGGAAAGCAGACTTACACCCCAGCCCACATACTGTAGATGATTGGCTTCTAAGGCTGCTCATGGCAGAAGACACCCAAGTGAATGACAGAGCTCAATCAAATCCAACCAGTCACATTGTGTCTGCCCAGTAGTCAGTTATCATTAACCAGCAGGTCTCAAGTTAATTTGTTGTCAAAATTCAGATGAGGATTTCCACCCTTCCAAGTTACACTTTCCTCATTCTGTAACTACCATAGAACAAATCCAAATGCACCTTGCTTTCACATCATTAGTAATGTAGGAAGTCCTTCTGTATATGAGTTGCTTCGGGACCCCATGTGGCCAACTAAATCCACTTTAAACCTGAGAAAGCTTAAAAAGTAATTCTAGTCACAAAAGAACAGAGTTAAGCACGGCTTCTTGGTAGCCAGCAAAATGCTGGCTACTGGTGGCACGCTACAGCTCCCTTAAGAGGTCTTCCTGATTCAGCAGTAGCAAAACAACAACAACAAAAAAGAAAAAAAAAACCACAGTTTCAAAACTGCAGCTTCCTGGGCCATGCTGCCAGCACAAACTCTGGCTCTTTTAGGAGGCCGAGCATTTAAATGGGGTTTGTGAAGAGAGTGCTACAACTGGCTTAATGGCAACACAGACCCTCTTTGTGCCTAAAAATAGGGCAATGTGCATGGCTCTCAAGGCAGCAGAGCAAGCAGGCAGGGCCATGTTGACCTTAGCCACACCTGCTTAGCATAAAAGATAAAAAGGCTCTTCTGCTCAGAAAATAATTACAGATACACAATAAAGACAGATTCAGATATAAAAGACCTCCAAATGGGCCACAGTGTTGGATAAATGTGCATAGGCTTGGAAGAGAAAAGAAAAAGAGTATAAAGAGTTATAAAAAGAAGTAAATCATTTTAAAAATAAAAACAAAGTCTTTAAAGAGAGGGTACAGACAGTCGTAGATTAAAAGAATTAAAGAAAAAGCCCCATAAAGATATAGTATACACAGATAATCTGGTTGGGTATATTATTGTGTTTTCTTTAAATTATTTGACTGTGAAGGAGCTAAGTACAGAGAGACATTTCATTTTGTAGGCTGCTAAGCTAAACCAGCATATATGTTTTAAAGATATCTTGACTTCAAAATTTGGGCCTCAGGATTTGTTGCTTTGGAAAAGAGATTCTGCTTTTGTTTCCACAGATGAGAAACTGTGGATTAATTCCAGGCTAATGTGGTTTTATGGACCAAGACCCCCCCCCAAAAAGTCACCATGAACACCCTCCAAAAAATTACTTCACCCAACAAAAAGCAGGAAGCAGTTTAGAGAGAACTATACCAAGATTCCCTAAATGATTGTTTATAAATGTTTGTTTACATTTAAAGGGGGATATGATATAGATATGAATAATTTGCATTGGTATGGATCTTGGTCTATTGATACGAATTTTAGGTCAATTTTGTTATATGTATGTTTCTGCTCTTGATTAAAGTATTATGTTTGTGCAGCTCATTTAAAAATGTAATGTATAATTAATAAATATAGGTTAATCGATAATCACCTATAATAGTCAAGCTTGTAGTCATGTTAGTTAGGTTTTCTAGATATGTAGACATATATTTCAGTTAGTTAGGTATTCTTCAAATCTTTCAGAGACCTTCAGAATATGGCATTTAAAATGCTTTAATAACTTAGGACTTTTCATGACAATGAGACACATCAGCTCCTGGCAACACCAATTACTTCAAGAAGATGATGGCATCAAAGAGGCTCCTCATGGAGTTTGTTAGCCATTTGGGCAAGAAACTGCTCTTGCCTGAACTGCTTGACTAGACTTGCAGGAACCACAGAAAAATGACCGCTAAAGGAACCTTTGGGGTTCCTGCTTCATTAAAGAGTCTGTGAGACATTCTATAAGACACAGAAGAAAGTGACTAACAAACTACCAATATAGACAGAACTGTCTTTGAAATTTCTTGCTTCATGGAAAAGTCTGCTAGATATTATGGGCCTGTTGGCTGAAGATGGATGCCCCAACAGTACAGAAAAACTTTGGGTAACTGTCCAGGCAGCGAGATGTCTCTGTCAATTCTAGAATTTTGGAAGTTGCCTACAATGCACTTCCTGTTTACTTAGGTAATATTATATCCTTCTGGAATCTTTGATAGAGCTGAAAAATAGATATAGTTTTCCTTAGTTATGATGAAAGACAAAGTAGATAAAAATATTGTAATTGTGATTCTTGCTTGATATCCGTTTTGTTATATGTAATCTTATTATGTTGAAGTTAAAACCTTCCTTCTTATTTAGACAGAAAAGGGGAGATGATGTAGGAAGTCCTTCTGTATATACGTTGCTTTTATTGGTTAATGAATTAAAAAATCTGCATTGGCTTATGATAGGGCAGAGTGGAGCTAGGCAGAGAAAACTAAACTGAATGCTGGGAGAAAGAAGGCAGAGTCAGGAGACACCATGTAGCTCCAGAGGAGAAAGATGCAAGCTGCTAGCTGAAACCTTACTGGTAGGCCACAAACCTCATGGTAAAATATAAAATAATAGAAATGGGTGAACCAAAGACATAAGAGCTAGCTAGCAATATTCTTAAGTGATTAGCCAAGCAATGATTTAAATAATATAGTTTCTGAGTGCTTATTTCAAGTCAGGGTGGTCAGGAAATGAACAAACATCCTCCTATAACAATCAGTGACCTGGGAGAATTGAAGTTGCTCAGACCCCACAACCATACCCAAGGGGCTGCCATCAGCCATCAGAGGGATGTCGAGATTCTTCATATTAGCTTGGCCCACAACTCTGCTGTCAGCCATCACTAGAGCTGGTCTCCCTACCCTGATGGCTGTCCCTCACTCATGGGGACAGGTGAGAATGAACGACAATGGATGCTGTGAGCACCCCTGTGCCGGACTGGGTCACAAACATGAGCAGATATGCAGGAACATTGCTGCACTCTATGAGAATGCATGAACAATTACATCTGGAGGGTGATGGCTCTACCAGAGTAGGTACTTGGCGTAGAGCTCCTAGGGTTACCTAGGAAACTGTTGTGGAGTCTGACGGTGGAGAGGGAGGGACTGTTCTGAGGCAGAGAGAGGCATGATACAAGTACCACGTGGACCATGGATGATCACAGAAGCGGTGGGGCACTGTAAGTAGGTCCTATTTATTTCTCCCCCAGGGAAGAAAAGAAAAGATTGTGCATGAAACATGCATGCTCTCAAAAATGCTTTGGCTCTGAATACAGATAATTTTTCTAATCACAACTCTATAGACATCTGATGGTACCACTCTCACACATAAAAACATGCCTAGGAGTGCCCTGGCTCTGGCTGCCACGAAACATAATCAGGTATCTATCAGTTTTCCATCCCATTACACGTTGGGAAATGAACTATAAGATATGCACACAGTTCATTATAAATAATGTCCTTAGTGTGTCCATCACTAGGAAGAGGATGCAGGAAGAGTGGGCAGCCTCTTAATCAACTTGCCGACTTAGTGTCATAAAACAAATGGATTCAAGGAAGCGAAAAGATCCACTTCCCTATTTCAAGTGCACCTTGATGATGCCTGCAAGTAATTCGTATCTCTGAATAATGAAATAGGAATTTATCAGCCTGGTTTTTCTGCTAAAGCATTTGTTTACTTTTTTTTTGTATGAGTGATGGCTTAAAAAATGCAATGGTTTATCAGCTGAAAGGAAAAAGCAGGATTTTTTATTATTTGCATATTTCCTTGTCTAAGAACAAGGACTTACACATAACAAATAGGAACTATTGTGCTGATTTGTGGTGTAACAACAATAAGATGTATTAACAATATTTTCCACTCTCATTGAATCTTAAACTTTAAAAACGTTAATCTGGGAAGACAGTTCAGAGGTTATAAGCATTGACTACTCTTCCAGAGGACTCGAGTTCAGTTCCCAGCAACCATACAGCAGCTCACAAGTGACTGTAATTCCTGTTCCAGGGGATCTAATGTCCTCTCCTGGCCTCTGGGGGCACCAGACACCCACATACAAACACATACATACATACATGCAGACGAAACACGCATACACATAAAATCAAAAAGCAGAGACAGCCCAAATAACCACCGATTGGTAAATGAACAACCAAACTATGGTAGACCCCACCATCGACTTTTATGTGGCCATAAAAATCTAGTGGGATGCTGGGTGCACCCACCCACTGAGACAGTAGGGCTGATCTATTGGGAGCTCACCAAGGCCAGCTGGACTATGACTGAAAAAGCATGGGATAAAACCGGACTCTCTGAACATGGCGAACAATGAGGGCTGATGAGAAGCCAAGGACAATGGCACGGGGTTTTGATCCTACTTCATGTTCTGGCTTTGTGGGAGCCTAGCCAGTTTAGATGTTCACCTTCCTAGACATGGACGGAGGGGGGAGGACCTTGGACTTTCCACAGGGCAGGGAACCCTGACTGCTCTTTGGACTGGAGAGGGAGGGGGAGAGTAGTGGGGGGAGGGGGAGAAGGGTGGGAGGAGGGGGAGGGAAATAGGAGGCTGGGAAGAGGGGGAAACTTTTTTTTCCTTTTCTCAAAAAAAAAAAAAATCTAGTGGGATGCTGGCACACGCTCTGACATGCTAAGTGAAAGAAAGAAGCTAAAAACAAAAGAACACATGCTGTGTGATTCCACTCACACAGACTACCTCACAAAGGCAAACCCAGTGCCAGGTAGCAGATTAGGGGCTGCTTGGGGTATAATGGCAGGAACAGCATGAGTATCCATCAGCAGGAGGCTTCTTTTCTTGGGAAGGCTAGGGAAAATCTGGCACTGTAGTCCAGACACAATACAAAAATATACTAAACCTCACTGACTTGAACCCCTAAAATAGGTGATCCTTTTCTATAACATGTAAACTATACCTCAAAGCTAAAACAAAAAACAAACAACAACAACAACAAAAAAAACCCACACCTTTCAGGAAAAAGAGTCCATAATGTCAAAGTGAAGACTTAAGACTTCACTAAGGCCAGGGGTGATGGCGGGCACCTGTCAGCCCAGCTAATGAAAACAGTTGAAGCAGGAGGATCCCTTGAGCCCAGGAATTGGAAGCTAGCTAGACAACACAAAGAGATACCACCTTAAAAAAAAGAAAAGAAAAAGACTACACCGGAGCAAAATGGGATTACAAGAAAATACCTGTGTGCCACAGATGGCCCAAGAGCAAATGAAAGCGCTAGTACCCCCATCAGAAGGCAAACTGAGGCAAGTGCTCTGCCGTCCAAGTCAGGATGATGGCAGGAACCAAGGCGTTTGATTCATTCCCAAACACCCATTAAATAAGAGGATGAACAAGAAAACAACCAACAGGATGGCATGAAGCCCCAGAACAGATTCCTCCAGAGGAATTCTGGTGTCATCAGAGCTGTGTAGCCTTCGTCAGGTAACCACTGAATCACTCCCCTTTCCTCCCAGAAATGCTTACATCCTGCATCAAAGAGCCCTAATTGCAGAGTTAATCAGATGGGCAAGCTACTTCAGATTGCGATGAGAATATCAATTCTAACCAGGACAGAACAGCACCATGAGCCAGTAGCATCCTGGTGATAAAAATCCGACCCCTCAGTCTTTTGTGAAGATGTTTGTTCCACAGATGTTCAGCTAATCCTTTTGTAAGAGACCGTTTTGGATATGCATTCTCTTTCTTATGGCCACAAGCAAACTAAAAAAGAAACTAGTGTATAAAATTACTCCATGATGCTCATCTTTCAGTGCATTAAAAACAAACAAACAGGAACTCAGGGCTGGAGAAATGGCTAACTGTTTAAGAGGATGCTGCACATGTAGGGGACCCAAGTTTGGTTCCCGCTGCCCACAATGAGCACCTCACAAATGCCTGTAACTCCAGCTCCAGGGGATAAAAATCTACTGTCCTCTTCAGACCTCCAGAGGCAACTGCAGGCACACATACACACAAACACACACAAATAAAAGTTAAAAAATTAAACTACCTGTCCAGGGCAATGGCAGGGAAACTGAGGATGGTTACAGAGCAGAAGACTTTGTGCAGGAATTTGACAACCTTGCAGAAGAACATAGTGTAGATCCACCAGCAGCACTGAGGGCTGGCGCTAAGGATGATGTCGAAGGGCACGCAGACCAGGCTAGCACAAATCCCAGAGCAGGCCAGGTTTTTAATGAACCTGTTGGTGACAGATTTGAACACGGTTGTGCGGCATGTTGACCATAACACCATGAAGTTTCCTGGCCAGATATGTAAAAAAAGAAAGAAAGAAATGAAAGTGAATTAGGGGTTTAAAACATGAGGAAAAACAACAAGAGAGAAGGAAAGAGAGAAACACGGGTTAAATATTTTGATATGTTAAGCATTTATTTCAAGGATATTACACTGTCAATTTATTTAAAACTGCTAGAGCACATCCATACCAAAAATTCTACATTAAATTTTAGTACTACTTTGATTTTTTAATTCCAGGCAAAAGATATCCTGTAATGATGGCTCAGTCTTATTGGCGGTATAAACAATCAGCTAGGTATTTATCTCAGGCATTCTAGAGTCATGGATGAACTTATATTCACCATGCCCAGTTCCAGAGTGCTGGCAAAGAAACCCAGGGCTTTCTGCATCCACACCTGAATCCCTGAGCACCAGTCTGCTCTTCTTAAGTTTGCTAAGGACTTCCAGGTTGTAGAGCATCCAACAGAGGCACAGTGCAAGCCACACACAGAATTTACAGCTAGTATTTCACAGAGTAAAAGGAAGCAAGTGAATTTTAATGATATATTTATTTAACCCAATTAATCCCAGCATTGTGATTACAACATAACATTACTAATAAATTATTGACAGTTTTCCATCTTTGCTTTTGTGCTGTCTTCAAAATCCAATGTGTATTTTATTTTACATTTCCAGGGCCTCTCTGTTTGAAGTGGTCACATTTCAAGTACTTAGAGGCCACAAGCAGTGAATTAGATTGCTTTCTATGGTTGTGATAAACACCATGATCAAAAACAACTTGGGAGCTGGGCAGTGGTGGTGCACACCTCAGTACCATCACTTGGAGGCAGAGGCAGGCAGATCTCTGTGAGTTCGAGGCCAGACTGGTCTACAAAGTGAGTTCCAGGACAGCCAGAGCTATTACACAAAGAAACCCTGTCTTGAATTGCACCCCTCCAAAAAAAAAACCAACTTAGGAAGGAAATAGCTCATTTGATTTACATTCCCATATCACAGTATCTCATAAGGGAACTAGGGCAAGAGGTTAAAGCAGGAATCTGACCGACATCAGCGATCTGAGGCAGAAACTATGGAGGAAAGCTGCTTACTGGCTTGCTCTCTAGGCTCAAGTTAAATCTTTCGTGTTCCCAGCCCTACCTGCTAAGCGGTGACACTACCCACAGTGAGTAGGCAGTCTCTCATCAATCGCTAATCAAGAAAATGTCCCACAGACTTGCAGCAGGCCAATCTGACGGAGGTATTTTCTCAGTTAAGGCTCTCTTTTCCCAGCTGACCCTTATTTGGGTCAAGCTGACAAAAACAAACAAACTAACTAACTAACTAACTAAGCAGCACATGTAACTAGTGACCCACACTCTAGCCAGTGAAATTCTAGATTTTTCAGCAACAATGACCTCATCAACCAACTCTCTTCACCAGTACTCCTCCCTGGCTTCCACAGGCCAACCTGCTTCTGATCTGTCTCCCACTCTCCCTGTAATGAATCTTCTTCTGTCCTGCCAGCCAGCTTCCAAATAATGACAGCAAGACTTCTTATTAAAGTCTATTAGGAAAGCTTGACCTATAGCTTAGGTTTGTCTCACTAGCTCTTGTAACTTAAATTAACCCATTTATATTAATCTATGTGGTGTTACCTCTCATCCATCTTGTACCTCGTGTTTCCTCTCCACGTCTCCTGGTGTCTCCTCCTCTTCCTTTCTCTCCAGGAAATCCCACCTATAACCTCCTGCCTTGCTATTGGCTATTCAGCTTTTTATTATACCAATCACAGCAATATATCTTCATACAGTGTACAAATATCCCACAACACCTTCCATAAGTCTCTGATTGGTCCTTTTCAGGGACTCTGGTGTCTCTACAATCTCTTCCTGGTTAGACTACCTGTTTCCGTGGCTTTCTATAACAATGCTGATGGTCCCCAGATTCATGTTCCAAAGAAGCCTTTTCCTCTCAGCCCCAGACTCCTCATTCCAATTGAGCCTGACAGTGTAGCCCTTTCTCAGTGCGTCAGCCTCCAGGGCCTGTGTATATAATCTGGTGTCTGCCTGTAGACCCCATACCCTTCCATCTCTGGTTTGCAGAACCAGCTCTCTGGCTGCACCTGAACTGCATCAAAGTTCGCCCTAACCCCGGGGTGTCAGTGCACAGCATTCCTGGATTGTCTGACCTCCTCCTCATGGTTCCTTTTAATCCAGGCTTTAGTTTAAATACTGTCTCCTCCACATGGCCTTCCCTAACTGTCTCTCTGTTGTAAACACTTATGTTCCTGCCTCCATTTTACTTCATTAGAATACCCTACTGTTCGTCTATAGCAAGTTAATTATTAGCCATTTGTTTCTCTCTTTTTTTAATCAGGGGAAAAAATGTCACTCTTGTTCAGCTACAAGTCTACACACAGCTCAATATTAGGAAGAGTAGGCACCATATAAATAATTGTTAAATAAATGAATTTATAAAAAATACATGGACAGCCAGGCGGTGGTGGTGCACGCCTTTAATCCCAGCACTCGGGAGGCAGAGGCAGGTGGATCTCTGTGAGTTCGAGGCCAGCCTGGTCTACAAGAGCTAGTTCTAGGACAGGCTCCAAAGCTACAGAGAGACCCTGTCTCGAAAAACCAAAAAAAAAAAAAAAAACAACAACAACAAAAAACCATGGACAGACAGCAATCAAAACTCCTTGTAGTGAAACCATCCTTTCGGGGGTGTGTCATCATCAGTTTCTAAACTGAACTCTGAATTAGAATGGCATACTGAATCCAGGCCTGTTTTTGACTGAGGACCCTCAACTGCAAAGATGCCCCAGTGCAGTGGGCTCCAAGTCAACTCTCCGACTCCTAGACCTGGAGCCCGCAGCCCACCAAGCTGCCCAGGGCCCATCTTCAGGTGTATCACACGGCACATTCTTGTGCCTGCTGAGAAAGCAGGTCCATCTGTAACTTGACTGGCCCCCTAAGGACACGACCTGTCCAGAGGATGCCTGCTGATGAGCCATGTGACAGCAGAGCCATGCACCATGGGAAGGACACGATGCTACAGAGGGCACAGCAGATCCAGAGCTCCAGAAAGGGTCACTCCAAGGAGTTGCGTTGGTCTCTAAATCCGGACAGAACTTACTGCCAAGTTCTCAAACACAATGTTCTATGACGCCTATTATCTTGCAGACAATGTAGAAAAGCCAATTGATGTATCTAGGTACAGAGTCCAGCTGCTTCCAGGAATTCTCTACAGAACTTTGTATTAGCACGGTAACTCACTAAGAAAACATGAGCAGTGTTTACACACACACACACACACACACACACACACACACTCCCATTTATTCAGGATAAGAATTGCTTATAGTGACGCCACCTGTCATCAAGGAGATAAACTGAACAATAACGACGCATGAGGGGCCTGCTGATGTGGAAGTTCGTTCTTGGCTTTTCCTCGCTGACACACAAATTAGAGTCTGGCCAAAGCATCCTTCCTTACATGGTTTTACATGCAGGATTTAAAAGTCTGGTCGTGATCTATGAATGGAACTGCCCACTAGAAGAGAGCGATCATCTCAACAGCTCCTAGGGCAGGGAGGGGCTAAAATGGCATCAGGTGAAGGATATGTTACAAATAATAATACAATTATAAGGCTATCTAGTTATTTATTTTTTTAAAAAAATCTTTAAAAACACCTTTATCCATCATCTTTATACAAGTGGCAGGAAGTCCTCTTGTTCATTTTCTCACAAAATAAAAATCAAGAATTTTAATTAAAAAAAATGGAAAAAAGGAACACTATTCATTTTTTAACCTTATTACCAGGAAGCCAAAGCATCCCCCCTTTTAAGGTATGATTCTATGTGCATTCTTTGTAACACTTATTTTTTTTAAGTTGGGGTTACTTACAAATAAATGCATAAATAAGCAAATACATATTGCCAGAGGATACAAAAGGGATGACACTGATCCATTTGCCACCGATGATAAACAAACAAACCCCCAAACTTTTCAACGTTGTATGATGTCTTTTATTTCAGATGTCATCCCTGGCTGCCTCCATGCTTATTGCCCAGATGTGTAGCATCCTAGTGAAATAAAATCATCCTAAGGTCTGTCCTGGTCCTTTCAACTGCTGTAGCCGAACACTGAGGAGAGGCAGCTAGTTGGGAAAGAAAGAGAAGGTGAGAAAAGAACACCACACACACTGCCGCGGCCACTCTCTGGTTCTGAGTTCAGTCTCCCACTGCCTGACACCCAGGAACATCAGTGCAGCCAGAACCTGCAGTTGAACTGTGCTGTCTTCTCTGAGAACCATTACAAAGGAGATTGTGAAAAAGGGCCGATGCACTCTCTTAATCCCACCCTCCTCAAGAGCAAGGATCTAATTGTTCAATGTTTCCGTCTTTAATGGTGTTGCCTTCTTACCCGCAAGCTTGCCACAAAGTACCTAAAAGAAGGTCTCCACGTCAGAACAGAGTTCTGCGGCCAAGCAGAACAGCACACTCTCTCCCTAACGTCTCCCACCGGCATTTTAAAGCCTCCAGATCACATAGCTACTTCTGAGCCCCTTGGGAGCCTTTCTCTCCTAATGCTCACACTCCACTCTGCACAGGCATCTTGAACATCTTTGTTTAATCAATAAACTCACTGACTTTCCCTCTCTCTGAGCGGTCCTGACATTCTTTTCTTCATGATGAAGGTTAAGTATACTGGTGCACCTAAATAGAGGTCCCCGAGGCTCTAAGGAGTGCAGCACCAGTTTGGTAGTGACAACACCACAGACCGGGCTATTTATAAAAGAAATAAGTAGCCAAAAAAGCTGTAATTTGGGCTTGAAATAGCTCAGTGGAAAAGAACTTGCTACTCAGGCCTGATTATCTGACTTTGATCCTGGGATCCCGTGGTGGAAGGAGAGAACTGACTCCTGAAAGTTGTCCTCCGAGTTCCATGCACCCACTATGGCATGTGTACACACACACACACACACACACATATAATTTTAAAAAAAGTAAGTAAAAAACATTTC